GATAGAATCTGTGCAGGGGAACAGAAAGTACAGAGGGAGGGTTTCAAGTCAGAGAGCCGGATTTAGACGGAAGTATGAAAGGCTTGGCATAATGGAATCTCTCCCCGTTGTCCCGATCGCTCACAGTAGTTATATGTCCATAGCAGGTTGGATTTAAAGACCTGGAAAGGGGCCAGTGATTTTGGTTGTCTAAGGATAAGTGGGCCAGATTTGAGTGCAAAAGTGGATTAAATTTTTTTTTTTTTGGTTTTATGCTGGGGCCAAACTCAAGGTGTTAAATTATTGAGGAGGCATCTCAATGACGAGTCAGACGCAGAGAAGACGTAGAGGCACCCATTATGAGGGACGGGTCCAGAATGGGAGAGGAGGATATTATGTACTATGGAGCATCCTTGCGCAGTACAAATACCCGACAACAGCACAAGGCCACGAGAATCAGTCGTCACTGAGTTCTATGTGGCGTGCTGGGCTGAATGGCCGAGGCTAGGGTCACCTGGGCCCAGGCTTTTTGAATGAGGGGTCTCTGAGACCCATGACAAAATGGATCCAAGCCTGACAACTGAGGGAATCCCTCTGCTGCCTGAGCCACCCAGAGGTAGCCAAACAGGGGGAGTGGTTTGAAAACCCCAGAGACACCGAAGGAGAGTCCGCAAAGGGAGCCCGAGAAGGGTATGTGACTCAGCAAAGAATGTCTGGTGTTGATGCAAGCAGGCGATCGGGAGATGAGTCACTGGCCAGTCACGTCCTCAGGGTGGTTGTGGGGTGAGTTGGAATGGGGGTCCACCAGGATTAGTGGAGAGCCCCATCCAAGTCATGGCACCAAAATATTGGAAATGTAGGCCCCAAAAATTGACCACGTGTGGAGAGGAGTGGATCTGGCCAAGAGATTCTTTATGCCGGTGGGAGAGGGAGGAGCCAAGAGAGAGAAGCAGGAACGGCAAGGGCTTAAATACCCCTCAGTGGGACTCAGCATGATCTAATTGGTTAGGATCTTTATGGCTCATGCTGATTGGATGGTTGAGGCAGTAGGAGGATCAAGCTAGACTTGAGGCAGGACTGTGACCTGGGAGGCAGGACCGTGATCCTGGAAAACAGAAGCTTAAGTGTGCAGTAAGAACTGAAATCTATCGGTGCCATTATTGCCAACAGCGTTTCATTTCCAAATTACTGCCTCACTTTAGATGTTTAAGTAGACAACAAATTTGGGCAGGGAGTGAAATGTGTGCATACTGATTAAACAGTCCCAATCACAGATGTGGCCTGGTTGGTCATTATTTTATTCCTTCTTGGGAGTGGTCTAGAGAAGTTGTTATTGCTGTCATTACTCCGAGGGTAGCAGTTTGCTCTGGATTGTTTCCTAGGCAGGTTGTCCTCTGTCTTGCAAAGCCTCTGTTGTTCTCTTCCTTGGGAGCATTTTCTTCATCCCTCCTTGTAAATGCATTATAGATCAATCCTATCCTACATAGATTCCAAGGTGACTGCAAAGTGAATGGCTCAGAGTAAAAACAGATAAAATAAAGGCAGAGATGCCAGCCTTTTCTCCTGTTTTTTAGCTAACTGAAAAAATAGTTAAATACCTCTTGTAGTACCTGTTCCCTGGGTCTGTGTTATTTATTCTTCTCTTTCTATCTATGTATCTTCATATTGGTTCATTATTTTCCTTTACCAAAACTGAAATAAAGACCCTGGAAATATTATTTAGGAAATTTCTCTTACAAAAAACAATACCTATTACCATTTCTTAACCTTACAAATCAATATAATCACAACCTGAAGTTTGTGTAGTAAGCAACATACTCAGATCAGGAAAAATCTTGATGGCTTAGACCTGTAATCCAGCACTTAGAGACTGAGATAGGAGGAATGTAGTTCCAGGCGAGCATGGACTACAGAGAGATATCCCGTCTACAGCAAACAAAAATTTTAAAAATAAGGAAAATGATAATGATAATAGATTTTAAAATAGCATGTTCATATTGATAAAGAGAATTAAAAAAAGAATAAGGCAGCAAAAAGTTGCAGGAGAATTCAGATTAATTAATAAGTGGCTCAGAAGACATACCTCAGAGTAAGATGCTTTGATATGGAAAGCACTTTGAAGGAAGAGAAATTGGAAACCCTTTGAAAACTACTCAGAATAAAGGTCTTTCTCAACTTTCCTTGTGTATTACCACCAGTCACAGGGAAAGAATCTATCTGATGTTTTCCAATCTGACTGAGGGAAGTTTTCCAAAAGGAATGGACTCCCTCCCCCAAATCTCACTAATCATGGAAGATAACTCATAGAAAAGAAGAGTAACAGGTGTCCACCTATTTTCATAGACGATATCAACCATTCTTCTGATAACTGCCTCCTGAGAGACTTTGTCTTCATGGATTGACAATCTTTGTTGATAGAGTAGTTCTGTCCCTCACCTCTGTCCCAGGCTATATTGTCTGTCCTTCAGACTCACTTCATTCTTCTAAAACATCATTAACTGCCCCTGGAAAATTGCCTGCAACACCTTCTTCCATTTCTCCTTCCCTCCTGTGAAGAGTACTGAAGCTTCAACCTTGTGGCACTTCATTTAGTTTTCATATTTCATGCGGCTCCTGTGCACATGAGCATATTAATAAATTTCTGTATCTTCTATTCACCTGTCTGTTGTTGGCTTATTTCAGTAGACTTAAAGATACCAACATTTGGAGGAAGAGGGAAAAATTTCCTTCACCCCTATAATAAGCCAAGAAGATTAAAAGAAAAAGAAAAATATAGAAAGATAGAATAAAATAAGTTTAAACAACTATAAATAGGCCAAGTTAAAAGTGTAAACGAGGTCAAGCTCTGTGGCTCATTACAGGGCTATAATCCCAAGTGCTAGCAAGGCAGAGATCAGGAGGATCATAATTGGAGACCAGTCCAGGCAACAGAAAAAGATAAAAACAAAAACAAGACAAAACAATAAAAGGTCAGCAAGACTCCATCTCAATCAATAAACTGGGCGTGATGGTACACATATGTGGTCACAACTACATGGGAGGCACAGGTAGGAGGATCCTGGTCTAAGGCAGGCCCCAAATGAAAATCCAAGACTCAATCTTAAAATAACTAAAGCAAAAATGGGGGTGTGGCTTAAATAGTACAGTGAGTACAGTGTCTGCCTAGTAAAGGCAAAGCCCTGAGTTCAAACCCCAGTATTCCTCTGCCCCTAAAAAAAAAGTTAAAAAGAAAAGAAATGGAGAGAGAAGACATTCCTGAGAAAGGGTATAAGTCAGAATGAGTTTTTAAAAAACTAATACTTAAAAAGATTTTAAACTAAAATAGTAAAAATCTCCTGTAAACTAAAGCACATGCACCATCAAAAAAAAAAAAAAAAAGGAAACATAGATTCCTAACTAGGTCCTCTTAACTTCCAAAATCCTGAGATCTGAGATCCTTGAAGAGTGAGAGAATGGAAGAGGCAGAGAGTTGGGTCTTCATTGCTCTCTATGGCATAGGCCTGGTTGCTTGAATAGTCGGTATAAGCCTGTGAAAGTGAGAAAAAACTTTTTAGCAGATAACCACAGGTGAACAGTTAGTCCACTAGTGGGCCTTGCACACAGGAGAAAAAAGCAGTAGAAATTCATTTTAAATTAATCTTAGCATATATTTTCTTAGAGTTGTTTAGCTATTGTTAGCACTCTCTGCTCTTTTTATATAGAACTTTTTAAGAATAAAAATTTTAAGAATAGGTTTTTTCACTCAGAACTGTAGGAGATACTTAAATGACTAGAACAGATGAGTTGTATTTGCATATTATGTCTATATTGCTGAAAGAGCTGTTGTAAATGAATTCAGCACCGTGGTGTTAAGGGACAGAAAAGAAACTAGGAACTGATAGATTATTATCAAGGTAAAGGTACTTATTCCCCAGGTGGCAAATTCTACCTATTTCTAGCTTTATTCCTTAGCACAGTGTTCTATTTATTCATGAGTACAGAAGTTTTAATTGGGTATGTCATGTTTCAAAGACAAAAGAAATGCCTAATTCACTCTAACAAACTTGTTAGTCACTGTTTATACCAAGAGGATTTGTACTCTACAGAGAATAATATTGTATTCTTTTCTTTGTTGATAAATCAAAGTTTTACACTGACCTACAGCAGTCAAGCATATTTAAAGCAAAAATCATCTCAGGCTAACACAGATGTGTATGTATCCTTTTAGCTTCTTTTTGCTCTCTTTTTGTTCTTTTAAATAAATACTGTATTTCAAAAATAATTCAATAAGAAAGTGTTCAAATTTGTCACTAATTTTTCTGATAATTATTTATAGGTTTGGTTAATTTCAATTTTAATAATATTAATAAATTTTTATTACTTTTTCCTTTATACTTGATAAATTACTTGTAGATTTTTGCTTGGCTGCAAAGGTTTTGGTAATCAGTTGTATAACCGTTGTGAGAATGATTGTAGAAACAACTTCACCAGTATTGCTGGGTTTCTATTTGTTATCAAGTCCGTTTTTCTAGAAATATGGTTTTATGGTTTACCCTGCTCAGTGCATGATCTTTCACTTGGACAAAAGGTTTTAGTAGGGGGTGTTACAGTTTCAGTTCACCCTAATTCTGTTACTGTTTGCTTTGTTCAGCAATCACTCTGATCCTCCTGGCAGGGAACAAGATCCAGAGAACAAAACTAGTAGTGACTGTGTAGATAAAAGGCAACGGATTCTGCTTTTAAGGCAAAGGGGGAATAGTCTACAGAAGAATGAAAATGGGAATGAAAGTGTGGCATTGTTAACCTGCAGATCTATTGTACTTTTGAAAGTCTTAACACTGCAGAAAAAAAGGAAACACTACAAAGATACATAATTATGTGACTGAAAATCTTGAAAAGGTCACAGTTTAGTTTCTTGCTTAATAATAATGAGAAAATAGACTAGATTATTCATAACTGAAAAACCACAGAACACTTTCCCTTAAAATGACAGTGTTTCAGCAGTATACAAGTACATAATATTTTTATTTATTCTCTACCAGAACAACTCTTTAGATACCATGAAGATGATGAGGTCAACAAGAGTACTTCAGAGAAGAATGGGAAAGAAATGTCAGAACAGACATTACAGAAGGTAGTGTAATCTTTAAGATATTGAGCTGAACAAGTTAAATCTGAATTTTAAAGTAAAGGATTATATTTTAAAATGAGGGCTCATGAACTTAAACCTCATATGAACCCTTAATTTAAATTCATAATTCAAATCATTGGCTTGCCAAAATGGGGTAAAAAATCAATGTTAGTGAAATAAATGTGTAAACACTTGTGCTTCTGTTCACATAAATTGAAAATATTTTTAAAGGTGAAATGGAGAGTATGAAAACAATAGCAAGTTAACAAAATTAAATTATATGTGCTTACTAGTTGTAACTGAACAGATCAAGTTTAAAATGGATCATAAAACTGCTACACTGCAAAAGACATACAGATTTACAATATTTGAACTAAAAATCGATCACAGTTATGTCTCTAAACAGTGAAATAGTAGTATGTTTATCATTTTACACTTGGAAGTAAAGCATGGCTCATGTCATTTTATAAAAATTTATACCTTGTAATTTAGTATAGCTTTCTGAACTTTAGTAAGTGCATCTGTATCACATGATACACTATGTCTGTCATTAATGATAAAATGCTGTTTTGAAATCTTAATATTTTTGGGGGGGAATAAGAAGCAAGGAAAACATTTTTGATGTTATCTTCACAATTTTATGCTTATGTTTTTGTATATAATACATGCTATTGAGGTTCAATGAAATTCACTTAATTTTATTTACCTTTCTGGTATTTTTAAAGAAAATAGTCTTTAAATAGTTTATTCTTATAACTGTCATTTGGTCATGATGAATTGGTTTTGTTTTTTATATACCTTTAATACTTAAAGTTGGAAATACACAGATATACAAAAAAAGTATTATTATACCTAAGTATATATTATTGCATCTGTGAATTGACTTGTAAGAAATGTGATTTACAGCAGATGATATGATTCACTATACTTGTAACACTTGCCATATGGTCCAGGTAACAAAGGCTGTCATCTTGTTGTTACTGAGTGTCACACATCAGGTTAACATAGTAACTAGAGAAGAAGTGCGCGTGTTCATCATCTTAAAGTAAAAATGAAAAATTGTGGTAATGTAGGTACTATAGTTAAGATGTCATGCAGCTTATAGTAGATTGTTATCTCGTTTCATAGTAACATTTTTGTTTGCCAGTTTTATATTTTTATTTATATAGATATATAATATTTTACTATTTATTGCTCTAGAATAAATCTATTATTTCATTCTAATCACAAGAACTGACTATTACTATAATGGATCCAGAAATTCCCTTTAAAGACCTGGAAACCAACAGTACTTATTTTCACTGGGCCATATATCATACTAGGATAGTAATTTCACACTAATTTTTATATCAATGTAATTCATTTGTGTACTTCATGATTTTAAATCCTCTGATTAAATTTACTTATTTTTAAAAGGATGTATATGAACCCTCATTCAGAATGGATTTAAAAGTTAGTAATAAGATGAAAATTCTTATCTATATTAGGAATGTAAATAGATTAATTTAAAAATGATATATTAGCATTTCACACTGTTATTGACAATTACTTGTCTTTGAAATAAATACATTAAAGTCCTAATCTTAATCTCAGATACTGAACAGTATTTGAAGATAAAGTCTTTAAAGAGGTAACTGAGTTAAAATGAATAATTAGAGTATGCCTAATTCAATATGCTGGTATTAGAAATTAGGATACTGACAAACACACAGTGAAACCATGTGACCTGGTGAAAGGATTGCAGTTTACAAGACAGTGAATGGGCTTCAAAAGAAACCAACCTTGTTGACACTTTGTCTGGGGCTTCTAGACTATGAGAAAGTAAATTCTTGTTGTTTAAGTCACCAGTTTCTTGTTACTTTATGTCAGTTCTAGAAAACTAATATGCATACTTCATAATAGCTGGTGTTTTTTCAGTTTTGAAAGAGCCATCTCTTTGATTATTTTAAATGAAACTGGACTTTCTTTCAGCTGATTTAAAACAAGCCAAATGCCTTTAACAATTTCTCAGAATTGTTTTCATTCTTAAAATCAGTTAACAATTTTTGTGAGCGTAACTTCAATAATACTTTAATAGCTGCTATGGATTTTTTCTTTTTAAAGTCTTTAGAAGTAGTATCTTAGTTTCTTTTTCTGTTTTCCATTTTAATCATAAGTACAGATATTTTGAACAGTTCTTGTGGTTTAACATAGATTTGCATAACGCAGTGAACAAACTTAAAACACTGATATTTTTCATTGGTATGCGTAGGGACACAAAAGTGTGATGACTTTTTTTCACTCATCCTAAGAATAACAGCCAATATTCTTGCAACAAAAAGACAGAGTAACAAGAGAAAAGCCTAACAAATTTATTTAATGTTTTTTTTACATCTCACTTGAAGTTTCAGAATGAAGAGCCAATGGAAAACTGTTTTTATGCTTAAGTTCTATGAAGAAAAGACAGCTGTTTCAAAATGTGATTGGGATAAAATGTATAATCTAAAGGTAAAATAGACTGAGGGAGGAACCCCCAGAAAGACCAGTTTATTCGGATTCTTCTTGGCCTGACTGTTAGTATTCTTCCCTAAGATGGGGTAAGGACTTGTCTGGAGTAAAGATTTTCAAGAGTGAAAAGAGAAGGGAGAAGTGATCTTTCTTTGTATTATGGTTTTGCTTTGGGAGAGAGGAGTTCTAGTTTAATGACCTACCTTGGTAAAGAGAAATTCTTGTTTCCATGACTCACACTGGGGAGGAAGTGGGTAGGTTATGAGGATAGGAGGAAGTCAAAGAGACTTTGCCTTTCAAATGCCCTTCAGTTCAAAATACTCAGCATGCCAATGTACGATAGTTGGTAGAATATTTGTCTGGACTCCAACATAAAATTTCCATGAGTTATTCCAAACTAATAGATTTTATCTATAAAAAAAAAAGTTTATTTCCAGAATTGGAAATATTAAAGACATTTGTTATATTTGTTTTGTAACAGTTTTTTTAATTAAAACAAAAAAGTTGATTTAATGGCTAATTCAGCTATTTACACAGTAATTATATTTTAGTTCAAGTAATTTTATTAGGTAGCTGTTAAGAGTAATAATAATAATAACTGGGCTAGAGACTTGGCACAAGTGTAGAGTGCTTGGTAAAAGCCCTGAGTTCAACCACCATACCATAAAAAAAAAAAGTAATAATAATAGAAACAATATTGATGATGATAAACTGTTTAGTCTTACTGTATGCCCAGGATTTGTTTTTATGACCATATTTAATTCTTATAACAAACCCACATGGTAGGTATTACCAATCTCATCTCACAGAAGAAACTAAAGGTAAGATAGGTTAAATATTTTACTGTCTAAAGTGACCAAAGATGAATTCGAGATAGAGACCTGACTCAAAATTCTATTTTCTATAGACCATCCTGCTTTCTTCTATTATTTTTATACCACAACTGCCAAAATAAAAATTTTAAAGTGTAGTTGTTTACTTGTACAAAATGCATATTTAAAAAAATAGTGTCCATTCTATTTACCCTACCCTGGAATCTAGCATGGTAAATATTTTCATATATATGGGAAAGTATACTATTAGGTAGTGATTAAAGATCTACGGATGGAAACTAGAAAATATAAACAGATCATAGTCTTTGTTTTTTTGTAGTGTATTGTATGAGAGGGAATAAAAGTTGAAGGTAGGATGATTTGGAAAGAAGTAAAAAGAATTTATCCAGAGTTAATTTTATTTAGCATTATTTATATCACATTAACCAGCTCTCTAATAATATATTTGGATGAGAGTATATTTCACAGAAATACACAGAGATCTACAATAATCTAGTACAAAAGTTTTTATATTCCTCTACTCTAGGTTAAAAGTGGTCTTAAAAGGACATAGTCATTAATAGCTTGGGTATATCATTCCATGGATAGAAGTGATTAAAATTAGATTGACATTCTTCATATTGTTTTGGTAATATCCATGCACCACAATGGGATAGCCAATCAGCAAATGACTGTTCAACTAAATGCACCTATTGAACTTGCAAGAAAAATAGAGGATTATAAAGATGACTAAACACAGTTTTTGAAGTAACTTATATCTTCACCACTATCAAGTAAGGTTTATTAAACTGAAAGTGTTAAAAATATAATTTTATCTTGTATATTCTGGACTATTATTGTATTAAATTGCTGATGTGTTTCTTAGTTCCTTCAAGCTGGTATAACTAACTATGCAGAAGCTGAGCCATGTAATGCAAACAGAAATTTATTTCACATAGTTTGGAGGATGGGAAGTAATAAGATCAAGGTGCCAACAGGTTCAACCTATGTTTTCTGATGGTGTCTTTTAGTTGTGTCCTCACATGGCAGAAGGAGCTAGCTAGCTCTCTGTAGTCTCTTAAAAGAGCTCTAATCCAATTCATGAAAGGGTTTGCTCTTATTGGTAATTAGGCTTTAACGCGAATTTTGAGGAGACACAAACATTCAAACAAACACATATGTGTGCACGCCACATGCACACAGAGAGAGAGAAAGAGAGAAGGAGGGGGCTGGTTATTTGTATTTAGTTACACTTTTTCATGATTGTTAAATATTGAAGAAAATGTTATTTACTAATTTCTCCATGTTCCTATTTTTAGATGTTTTTATAAATTGTTTTAACTCTCTAAAAAAGTATTTTTGCACAATGAGTAGACTATACAGCCAAAGCATTTATGATTTTAGAAAACTCTGCAGTTTATTAGCATACTAGTTCTGTGTCACTTTGTGTAAAATTTTAACTTCTTTTACCATCTGGCCTTTATTCAACAGATGTATTATTGCATTTTTGATTGTGTTCATCTATAGCACCTTAGAAGTATTTAGAAATTAAGTACCTTAGCTTTATTTTGTCCTTGTGTGAGGTGTAAGTTTTCTTTCATTAGTTAGAAACGATAATAAAAATGCAGTAGATTATGGTTTTGGATGTTAAAAGGGTTAATTAAACTCTTGTGTAGGTCATTGAGTTGGAAAATCGGCTTAAAATCTTTTTGAGAAAAGTTCAAGAAAATTTAAAAAAGAGAATAAAAATTAATGAAAGAAAATGATTTCCTGAAGTTCCACTTAAAACAACATCAACAAGATGCAGAGACCAGAGAAAAAGAGCTAGAACTGCTAGTTAAGAGGAGTAAAGATGCAGAAAAAGACAAAACTGAACTTCAAGTAAAAATCAGTGAGCTGGAGAAAGAAGTCACTTCCCTAAGGAGACAGGTGGCAGAAGCTAACACACTGAGAAATGAAAATGAAATGCTGGTGAATCCAGTGGAGAAATCGCACCATCAGCAGACAAGGCTAAATCTGAGATGGGCCACCACAGAAGTGAAATCTGGACAGTATGAATGTAAGACTACCACTACCAAGGTAAAATTGAAAGCAGCAAAGAAAAAGTACTCTGTGGGTCGTCACCACATGGTTCTTAATCACTCCATCAAGGTTATGAGGCAATGTGTTTGAGAACCTCAGTAAGGATGGCTGGGAGGATGTGAGTGAAAGCAGGTAGACTTTCATTAACTTAGCTCTGTGGTGGGGACACTGTGCATAGTAAGCACTGGCAAAGGAGATTGAATTTCAACTACTGTCAATTTGGATTCAGCAAAAAAATACTGTCAGATCCTTTGAAATATTTGGGAGGTCTTGTTCTGAGTTATTGACTAAAATTTTGCAATGCAAAATTAGCCACAACTGCATGAGTGATATTGAATAGATGCCAGGAAACCCAAAGAAGGCAATGCTTATTTCTTTCAGTGATGCTATTTTTCATGCAGTCCATGAGCGCTTGAAATTGGACAGTTTGGCAGGTTGATTTTAATTTGCTGGCCCTTTGCATATTCACACTGACAGCTAAGGATTCCCAGGCAAGCCTACTTCAGTTTAGTTATCTTGTGACCATGCCTACCTGGGAGGAAAAATACTTCCCCCTTTAATTTAGTTAGATAAATTTGTGAATGACCATTCAGCTTGTTACATATGTCTACAAGCTGTTAACATCCTTTAAATTAAGAACCACTTCACTAATTATTCCATGTATGTATTATGCAAAGATCGTGTACTACTAATTGAATGGTAGTTAAAAAATTACTTTTTAGAGTTATACAGATTCTTATAGTCTTAAACCCTAGTTGAATAGAACAGGAGGAATTCTAAAAATCTGTACTGTTCTTCCTCTTACCTCTGGTTAATGTTCATATACATCTTTGAAGCCACAAAGGAAATGAATGGTAAGACACCTCTTCTTATACCTAGCAATAAGGAAGTACAATGTTGCCAGAATTTGCTAACAAATCGTTCAATTTTCATAATTTGTCTTGTGTGCATAAAACATGTATTTCCTTTTATTTTCCTAGATTTTGTTTGTTTTTAAGCCTTAGCAGTGGTTTCTGTTTTAGATTTGGAAGAGTATGGATAGGTTTCTTAATCACAGACATAGAATGGAAGATTATCTTAAAACAGTTGCAAAATTTCTGTATGGGTGGAAATGTATATACTTTCCCTCATATTATAAGGATCGTTTCTTGCTTGACAGTCCCTATAACAAAAGACAAAATTAAAGAGAAAAA